TGCTGGGAATAAGCATAGGAGTGACCAAATACCAGTAAAAGGGACAGTGTGATATGAAATCAGGTTTAGCATCCATCAGAAGGATATCAAGAAAGCATTATCCACTCTTCAAAATAAATCTAATAGTCATATCAATCATATAAATGAACTATCAAAAAAAAAAAAAAAACGAAAACTAAGATTTCATCAAGGACTGGAAATGACAGGAGATGTTTTGCATGACCAGAGATACACAAGAGGCCTGTTGAAGTTGCACAACAGACTTCTAAGTATACAGATTTAAGCAGGGCCCAACTGTAGTTGAAATTCCCTAACAAATGTTAACTGGCAATAATAGTCGGATGACAAAGATTATTATTTTTGGTGAATGCTCATGACATCATTGCTTTTCTTTTCAGAAGTTAAAAGTATATTTGTATTAACTGAAAAAAAAAATACAAAAGATTAAGGTCCCCTGTAAAAAGAGTTTCTGTACATCTTATCTACATTTAAGGACCTCCAAAAATGTCAACTATCAAAAAAAAATGAAGCAGATAATTCATCTTCTTTGAACAACCTACACCCAACTTCTTATCCCATCAAAGACCTGTTTTTCACTATCTCTACCGAATTTCCTTTTCTGATCAAAAACTCTTTGGTTCCTTTCCAACCATATTGCCTACAGGACTGCTAATGGGATGGCTGACCACAGAAGTCTGCCCCTCTTGTTCCTTGCCAAGAGCTTTGCTTTGATCAGCATCCCTCTGCTCCAAAGCTCAGATGTTGAAGATGATAAATTGATAACATAGCAAGGGCTGGACATAGAGATGTCAGGGGAGGATTAATAGGGTAACCAACTCCACCCTTATTTCATAGGGTATGCCCTTAATCAGGTTCTGGTTGTGGGAGTTCAACCAGGTTGATTTCAGGTTGTTAAATATTTCATTCCCAGATTGCCATGTCACATAGATTTCATATGTTTTTACCTTCTTTTCCTATTATTTGTCTATATATTTTCCTTTTAATAATATTTTCCATTTATTATCTTTTTATATTAACCTTTTCTCATGTCTTATCTCACACCGTCTTGCCCTGTTTCATGCCCTGATGCCACCCTGGCCCACTCTGTTTACAGGGAAGGGCAAGATTGGGTTGGTAAATGGTCAAGTTGAGTTGGTTTTAAGTCAAGTTCAGCCTATACCAAACCCAATCTGTGGGTCTACTTGGGTGCCTCCTATGACATTCAAAGCTATCTTGCTCCTTCTTAGCACTAAAACAGAGAAGATAACATGGAGATGTATCACTATTAAAGCCACTATGCTTTGGAGTACATGGAATGAAAAAAAAAATGATAGAATTTCCAAAAACAAGTAGCAAGAGATCAATATTAACATTGATACCATAGAACTTAGAGTAGCCCATTGGATCTGAAAAAGATGAATTGGGTTGATCTATGAATTCTATCCTAAGGGGCTGGCAGGTGGTAGCAAGATTTGCTCAACAAAGAAAGCATGCCATCCAAGAATCGTTTGCACTTTGCACAAGAAAAGTGGAGTGAGCAAATATAACTTTTCTGGTTGTGTTTTAGACAACCTTGGACCTTCTAGGGTAGGGGAGTTTTAGGTACACTATTTTAATGACCTTCTCCAGATTGATTGGAGAAGGCAATTCACTTGAACCAGAACTACTAGAATTTACACAACCTAGATCTGGCTTGTTATTCAGGCTGCAGAGGTTTGGTGATTGAAGGGGATGATCAAGTGGTGATTGATTGGCATGTTTCATTTCAGGAGATGTTTCATCCTACACCCAGTGATTTAAAAGGTGCGCCTAGGCGCACAGGCGAGGCGCATTTTGGGGTATGCGCCTCGCCCAGGTCCTAGGCACCTCTTTCAAAAGGCACGCGCCTGGTGTGCCTAAGCATGCACCTGATGCACCTCGCAGCTCAGCCCAGGCGTGCGCCTTTTTAAAATTTTGCGCTTTTTGCTGTTTTTTGAGTCTAACAGCCCAGTCCAGTCCGAGAACCCCCAATTTTGCACCTCAGCCCAGTCCGAGAACCCCCTATTTGCTTATGTTGTTCATTCATTCATTGCAATAAAATATCATCTTAAAACGCAATGAAAGTTGTAAAATCATTATTTTTTTTATGTGAGAAATAAGAATTTTAGACCCTAACATAGACTTGTTCGGGCTTGCCTTGAGGGGTGTGCTACAAAGGCGACTCATAGAATCAAGAACGCAATATGTTTTACATCACATTAACTACTTGAAGCAATGCAATTAAGGAAAAAAAGAGATTGCGGGTTTTACATGCTTGAAAATGCTTTATATGTTTGCTTTTATTTTTTAATTTTCATTTGAATACACTTTACATGTTATGTTTATGTATTTTAATTTTAGATAATAGGTTTTTTAAATCATTTATTTTAAAATTTAAGTTTATATTTTTATTAACATTATGTTTATTATTTTTTAATATTTTTGCATTTTTTTATTTTTTTAAGAATTTTCTGACTTTTTTTTATTTTTTAGCTTTTTTTTTGTAATTTTGTGCCTTTCTTAAAAAGGTGTGCGCCTCGCCTTGCACCTTGCGCCTCAAGCGCAAATTGGCCCTTGCGCTTTTTTTGCGCCTTGCGCTTTTAAAACACTACCTACACCTTTAGAAGTGGGAACATATTAAAGGATTCTCTTGAAGGGATGGGAGATCCATCATATGGATGGCCGAACCATGCAGGGTGGTTGGGCGAAATTTCAAAAATTTCTTTCTCCCATCCGGGAATCCTATTCCCTGATTTAGAAAAATTGCATTTTTCAAGGTTTGTTCTTGAAACAAACCGGACCAAATTTGAAACAAAGAATAGGGAGAGAAATACCTAATACGGAATCCACGCAAAAAGCTCCTCCCAATGTAGATGTTCACGCCCAAAGAGGTTACCAAATCTTTCATCCACTGAAGATGACACAGCTTAGGGTGAGGCAGGATCAATAAGGAGATTCTTCAGCAAGAACCCCAATTCTTCAACAAGAATCAAGCAGGGATGTGAGCACAGCTTCAAGATTGATTCTTCCAGCAAGAATCAATATCAAGATCCAATCTTGATCACTCCAAGAACTGGAGATCGAACAAGGTAGGGCGGCAAGAGCAAAAGGAGAGAGAACTGAATGCAAAAGACTGTGAAACTGTGTTACCTTTTTCTAGTTCGCCCTCCTCCTTTTATATAATCTTTAAAGAGTTAACCTCCTAATCTGATTAGGAGTTTCTTGATCCAAATCTTTATTTGGATCTRGACTCTTTAAGTGATAAGGCTTATCCCTTATCTTATCTRCAGATCAGGATYAGCTTCTCCTAATCCAATTAGAAGTTTCCTAATCCAAATCTTTATTTRGATCTGGACTCTTTAAGTGATAAGGCTTATCCCTTATCTTATCTACAGATCAGGATCAGCTTCTCCTAATCCAATTAGAAGTTTCCTAATCCAAATCTTTATTTGGATCTAGACTCTTTAAGTGATAAGGCTTGTCTTATCCCTTATCTTATCTACAGATCAGGATCAGCTTCTCCTAATCCAATTAGAAGTTTCCTAATCCAAATCTTTATTTGGATCTGGACTCTTTAAGTGGATAAGAGTTATCCTCCTATCCTTATCTGTTGATCCATACCCAGATTCACCCCCTATTTAATTAATCAAATTAAACCTAATTCGACTTGAGCTTTAGGCCCATTAAGCTTTCAAGATCATTTCCTTTTAAGTGTTGGCTAGCTTGGCTCTCTTTGTATGGCGTGGGACCCTATCATTGATCTCCACATAAACCACATGGGTTCAGCCTAACCTCTGTTACAAGGCCTGGCCGAATTCACTGCTAAGTACAGTGAACCCCTAAGTCTATCAGTATGGGCTCTTAATGGACCCAACATTTACACTAAATGGTCCTTGGGTCCAGCCATCTTATGAAGGCCCGAGGACTGTGGGCAGATGTGAGATTAGCCCATCAGGTAAAAACCCTAAATGGTCTTACACTTAACCTCTCAGCCCTTAATGATCATACACTGCCCGATAAGAGAGGACCTCTCCCTCGACTGCAAGGTACAATGTTGCACTCTCTGCTAACATGGATCCCATTAATTAAAACATTTTTGCAAACATTTTGTGAAACCATAATATATATGTATATCTCTATAAATATATTTTGCAAAAACAAATCTCAACAAGTTTGAAATCAACTGCCGGCAGTTTAGGTTTCCATAAGAGAGAATGCATTCCCCGATTATTCACTTTGTCCGACAAAGGGGTTGATCCTGCCATTATAATCACCCACTCAGGTGAATTCTCGGATTGCCCCAACATACCCAGGTTTTGACCCCCTCTAAGGATCTCACTGATTGGCATATCAAAGACAGCCCAATCCAACACCTAGTGCAATACCATAATCGAGTCTAGGGGTCAGGTGTAACTTTCCAGTTTTGCCCATCTATCTCCAAGGTCCAGGGCATAACTGGAAAATGGTCAAGTTCAGGATTTCAAGCAAACCCATACTACATGTGCTTCAGGTCTCACCCTGGCAGTTGAGACAAGCCACCTCAACCGACTTGGCAGCACATTAGTGTTAGCCTTGGCAGGATAAACCTTCCCAGGTCTATCCAATGGCTGTGAAGATTCTAAACTAACACGAGTCTCATAAGTGTCCAGTTTAAAGGTATTACACAGAAACACACCATATATAACACGAATCAATTATGTACTAATAGTCATTTACAATAAATGCACCAGTACATTAATCTGATTGGAGCTAAGGGCATACACTATCTAACATCTCTGATGTGTCCCAAATATGTAAACATGAACAACTAAGTGTAGTCAAAAGGGATTTGAAATCTATTTATATGAAAAACATTTCTCATAATGTTTTAGGTTGTAATGAAATGAACATGAATGTTTATCTCGCTCCTGTCTATGAACATTTCTACAAACTCAGACTTCTGAAGCAATCATGGTGAATCCAAATGGTAAATTAAGACATACCGGATAGGTCTATTGATGGATCATTATAGGAGTGCATAGCTGCTGCCCAACCTATATTAAAATATAAAAACATCATCAATTTGTTGTATATGTGTAAGATTAAAACTCTTGTAGTTAATTATTTTTTATCAATAACACCAAGCAAAGAGGATTTATTAATGTAAAAAAAAAAAAAAAGAAATCACAGCTAATTAGGAAAGCTAACTGCAGGTATAAGACAATCCTTACATAACAGCAACTGCTGATATAAACAAGAGTACATAAGCATGAAAAGTAATAGTACTTATCAGACCCTGTCTATGTGCACCAGCCATTGTGCTCCCCAAAGCTATGTTACAAGATATAGCATGGACATGGCTGGATACAGTATCAGATATGAAATTTACACTAAAAACTGAGGTACAATACAGCATCCTTGTATAGGTATTTGGGTAGTATAGCCCCAAAGTAAATTTTGTTTAACAATGGCTCTTGTGGTTATAAACTTGTAGCTACTATTACAAGGCTATTATATCTTTGAAAAAGTTAGGCTGAATCACCAAATATTGGTGATCCAGTTGAAGATGGCCTCTTAGATCAAATTATTGCCATGCATAGGTCTTCTAGCTGATTCGGATGTATATTTCCTTTTGGGCCTAGTGGGCCTAAGTTATTCTTCTCTTAAAGACTGTTTATGTACAACCCACCTAATGAAGGGCAATCTTGTACTTTCCCTTATTTTAAGTTTCATTTAAATTCTATCAAGGGCTGGACAGAAGTGAGCTGCCGCCCCATTTTCTTATTCTCTTCTCTTCTTGTCTTCTCTCATTTTCTCCTCTTCTCTTGTTCAAAATACTTCATAGTATCAGAGCAATAGGAGTTTCTTAATATTCGAATCTTCTTTTTCCCTTATTTTCTCTGCTTTTCTCGCTAGAACTTTATTCTACTGAAACCCCAACCTGCTCGCGAGTCACTAAGGAGCCTGCTTCTTATTCTTAGGGTTTCTTCCTTGGAGAGGAGACCAAGGGAACCCTAAGCAGCTTCAGTCATGCCCTATTAGGGTAAGAAGAAAGAGAGCAGTATGTGGACTGCTAGAGAGACCTGAGTTCCAGGTCTAGTGACTGTACAGCAGGAGAGGCATTGGTGGATGCTGGACAATGAAGTTCTACTCCAGGAGACCTACTAGGAGGTGAAGAAGCTCTTATGTTTTTTGAGTTCAAAGATATGGAGAAGTCTATTTGATGAAGCCATTGACAATATATCCATTAAATTTGTTCTCAAAGTGAAGACTATGGAGCTATTTTCACTTTTTATTTTGCATGATATCATGAGAAATTGGAAATAAGTGGCTGAATTGTATCAACTAGAGTAGTTCAAGTTACCCATTTGTCTCCTCCCATTCCAGGCTATACAAAGTTTAGTTTTGTTGGATGCATTCCAAGTGTTAGGCATTGGGGAAGTATACAAAAATGATGAAGGAAACAATTTAGACATATATTTGGGTCCTATGAGGATTGGAGATTTAACTAAGGCAGATATCAGGTAGTTGAAGGAGATCAAGAGTTGTAATTGGTTGGCTAATCAGATATCATGAGATTTCTTGGAAATACAGATATATGGTTAAAGAGATACAAAATTATATCAAGTGAGCTGAGAGCAAATGTGAATGGGTATTTCATTCTGCAATGGTTGGGAAGATGGATAAGTAAAGCAAAGGACTGAGGAATCAGATATATTGAGGTCAAGTGCAGTCAAGGGAGATGTAATTGAAACTATAAGGGAGTTAGCAGATGTTAACCACCTCCTGCAGGTGTAAGGTTGCAATATGTCAATTTCTATTACAGTAATAGAATGAACGACAGTAATTGTAAAAAAAATTATAGAAAATAAAAAAACTAAGTGTTACAATATACTGTCTGAAGAGTCACAGTAAGCATAAAGTAATACCAAACAGAACTATGGTTGTACATACGGTCATTCAGAAGCTGAGCAGCCTCACTACTACAACACCCACTTATGGATATTAACCCTGGGCGAAGGATCTCATTCAGATGATTGCTGCTACCTGCCTCCCCACGTTCTAAAATAGGGATGTTTCTTGAAGAAGATTGACTCTTATCTCCTTCGTTGGTGTAACTGCTGTTTGTTCTTTCAAATCGATCTGCTCCGTTGAAATAGAAATATTTAAACATCTAGAATTTGGCAGACCTGTATATGCATGAAATGGTATTTCCTCAAAGCAAAATGCAACAACAACATTCATGCTACCTCACCCAAACACCACACAATTAACGCATTCATTGTAAGATATGGAGCAACATATCCATGAATCACCTTCTGTATTGACTTTATATCCCAAAAGCAAATACAAAGATAAACTTAACACTTCAGAAAGGGGCCTTTTTTTCTAGGTTTTCTGGGAGTCCAAAACCAGAGTCCACATTGTAATGGATAGAAACATCCAGTTGGCCTGATTTTCCAGTAAGCGCATTTGTCAAGAACTGGAGTCCACATTGTATTGACTTTTGCAGGCATTTTTTTTATCATTCGTTTTGTAGGCATTTGTCAAGAACATGTTTTATACTGAATGACAGCAAATTTGTTTTTTCCTGACTGGCATGTTTGCATTCAAAATGGGAGCAAAGTTTGCTTCCAAAAAATGGATGCAAACTCTGTACTCAAGGTTGGTCAATATAAAAAAGGTAGATCTGGTCTTGGAACTTGTGTTTGTACCCATCACAATTAAATACATTTGGTAAGAATACAAAATTTATCAATGCAAAAACCAAACCAACTTTGCATTTTCATGAACCATACATATTTGCATTTGCACTGAACATATTTGTATTTCACTCTTGCCAAACGCAGCCTAAATGATGGTATGTCATCCTGAAGAGACTCTAAGAGGTCATTTGGAAAGCAGTCAATAATCTAGATTGTGTCAGAACAGGATTCTAGTGAGAATACAAGGTCATTTGTTCAAATGATAATGCCTATGCTGTAAGTCCATCCTGATCCGATTCTAGAATCCACCTGCATCTCAATTTTGGAATTTTGGGGCAGTGGATTTTGGCAGAAAAGTAAGAATCTCAACAAGCCAAATTGTATGGGATTTTTTTTACAAGTAACAGTGTCAACTTCATTAACCAATCAGGAAAAGTTTACAAAAAGAGAAAAACAGAAGTTACAGGCCATTTGGTTGTCAAGGAGACACCAAATTTACATAACTGATCCCCCCTGGAAGCAGCCCCCTAATAGAATTCATTCTATCCACCCCTGACTTGGCTACACTATCAGCTAATATATTTTCTGTATGATACAAGTGAAGATACATCCAACCTGAGTTTATGGCATTCCATTATATCGGATTTTGCAATCCTGATTCTAAAATCTGTTGAGTGATGCACTATATTTTCTGGTTTATGTAGAGTTTGAGTATGAATTTCTTGGGAGCTGAAATATTTTCTGTTTTCCTTGTTTATTTTAAGTTTATTATTATTGTTATAGGGAAGTACATAACCAGGGGTATAGTAGTCATTTTCCATTGTATTGTGAAGTGATATAGTATAAAGGGACTGTATCGCTCAGTCTTTTCTCCTCTCTCAAATCAGTCTCTCTTCGTTCACTTCTCTTTCTTCTCTTTTTTTTTTAATTTTCACTCTAATTTCTAGTTTTATAAACTAAAATATCTGCCAAGTTTGTGTCAGAGCACAAGATGCTTCTTGTATAGTTCTTCCTAATAAAACTCATGCAAATCTAGGATAAAAAATTTGCATGGGAATTAAAGAATCTGGTCAGATTATTATAGTTTGCCTGGTTTTAGATGCGTTTTTTTTTTTTTTTGATGAATTGGTTTTAGATGATTTTTGGAGAACTATTGGGTGAAATTAGCATTGCTGCCCAGGTGTTTTTGGATCATCTTGGATCACAGAAAAAAAGTGGGTTATTTTGTTTTAGGGGAGTTCAAGGGCCTTTGAAGTGCCTGGTTTTAGATGCGTTTTTTTTTTTTTTTTTTGATGAATTGGTTTTAGATGATTTTTGGAGAACTATTGAGTGAAATTAGCATTGCTGCCCGGGTGTTTTTGGATCATCTTGGATCACAGAAAAAAAGTGGGTTATTTTGTTTTAGGGGAGTTCAAGGGCCTTTGAAGTGAGTGCTTCCCTATTTCCACAGTTTCTACCAGTCCCTATAGAAGTGATCTCTCAAACACTGTGCAAAGGGTTGTAGTTTTCTCTTGGAAGTAAATCCCTATGGTTGATTTGTTATTCTATTTCAGTTTATTTGATAATCAAAGATTAATATAGACTCTTCTGGGAGTAGTGATTCCTATCATGTCTCAAAGTGATACTGAAGAGAGTTTGAATATCCAAGCTACTATTGTAAAGCTCAATGGAAATGATTATTTGGAGTGGGCATGGTCAGCTTGCATGTATATTGGTGGACATGGGAAACTAGGTTATCTCACAAGCTTTGAGGTAGAGTCAAAATCCTAAGATCTGAAGCATGGAAGGTGGGTGCAATGAAAACTAATGGTAATATCATGATAAGTATATTCTATGCAGCCACAACATCACCATCATCACCCATGCCTTTTCCCAACTATATGGGGTATTCTATGCAGCCACATCTGAGTAGAAATTTTCTATGGATGAAGACAACAGAACAAATGAAATTTGGGGTAGTTTTTCTAAGACATATACACAAGCATTAAATGTAGCTCATGCTTCCCAACTCATTACACATCATTCTCAGAAATCCAATTAAAAAGATACCAGCCCCTTTTAAAATAAAATGTCCCATGTTTAACAGAATGTTTTTAAAAGCAATATGTCAGCTTGACAGTGAATCTAATCTGATGAGCATAGACCAAATATAATGGCAGTCCTTTTTTACCCTTAATCTGTTCCAAAGTCATTTTCTTTCTTCTATCTCGTATGTTTAATTTCTCAAATGGCAAAGGTGTCGCAATGGTCATCTTTTTTTATCAATAACTGCACCATTTTGTTAATGATTAAAAGAGTACAAAAGAGCAAAGAAAGGAAAAGATAAGCTCTCTTAATTATCTCCCTAGAAAATATCAAGTTTACAACAAAACCCAAAAAAAATTTATCTCTTTCCACCCCTTGTTTTGCTAGTACATCAGCAAAAGAATTATCACTTCTTTTCACCAACTGTAGCCTTAGTGTCTTACTTCCATGCCCTATGTCACCCACTTAAATTTCCTTCTTTCATTAACATAGCACCACCAGCCATCTTCCTCATTTTGTAGCCAGCCTACCACCAGCTTTGAATCACCTTCAATAATCAACTTTCTAATATTCAGTTCCTTTACCCTTTGCACACCTTCCATCACAACCATGATCTTAGCCCTTAAAGAATCACCTACATCAATTGGGCCAGAATAAAAACCAATAATTTTCCTTCCTCATTTCGGAAAACTCCTCCAAAGCCTGAAGGATCAAGGTTTCCCTCACTACTTCCATCAAAATTCAGCTTAATGAAACCACAAGTTGGTAGAGACCAAATAGGGCTAATGACAGCCTTAAGAGAGGCTGAACCAGTGACTTCCACTTTCTAAGCAAATTATCAGTAGAGGTATCCTCAAAGATGTTCAAGGAGTTCACCCTATGGACCATTGTAATGGCAATAGCTTCTATGAGTGCTTCTCTGCTTCTCTCCTATTCTGAAAAAATGCTTAGATTCCTTTCTTTCTAAACTCTCCAACAAACAACAGCTCTTGTGCATCTCCATAAAATTCTTCCCCTTTTCTTCAGCCAACTAGTAGAAGTAGAAGCAAACAAGTTTGTACATTTGGTGGGAGATTCCACATGCACCCAAACAAATAGAGAAACCATTCCCAAATAGAAAATACAAAGGGGTAGGAGATTAACAAGTGATGGAAAGTCTCATCATTAGCCTTATAGAGAATGCACCAATGAGGACCAATTAAGTCTTTTTCTTTGGAGTAAGTCACAGGTGTTTATTCTTTCCAGGAGAGCTTCCCAGCAAAAATCTCCAATCCTGGGAGGAATAGGCTTACTCCAAACCTCCTTAACAAGAAAAGGCTTCCCAACAGTATCAAAGGATTAGATTAAAGCCTCAAAGAAAGAAGCACAAGCAAAGGAACCAAAAGAAGAGAGAATCCAGATACAGCTATCCAATTTAGAAGGATCCAAGAAAACCCCTTCTAGAATATGAAGCAAGGCCAGGACACTATTTAATTCAGAGTCTCTAAGTCCCTTCTTAAAATCCAAGTCCCAATCAAATCCATCTCTCAAGTTAGAGAGAACCAAGAAGGTAGAAAAAACACAACTTTATGATTTGAGAGGGCAAATAAAGAGGGAAATTGTTCCTTCAATGATGAGTTGCGCATCCAAACATGCTCCGAAAATTTAACAAAATTTCCAAAAAACAAATTATACCTAATGAAAGGTAAGAAAGAAGGTACAATTTTTAAAAAAAAATAAAGATAAAATTTTATTTAAAATATAAAAGATACATCAAGGAGGTGATATGATATCACTGAGAGAAGAAAAGCAGTCTGAAAGACCCTTTGAGAGCCCAATACCCATGCAACTTGTTGACAAAAAGGAACACCCAATCAATTCCAAGCTAGGATCAAGGAAAAGACCCCAAACCAATCCCCAATAAAACATACCCCGCCAACAAAACAGAAACCAAAAACCCCCCCTTTTCGGAGTCATGACTTTAGTCTTCCTCTGTGAACATGTCATCTTGGATTGAATCGTCCTCATCCCATATCTTGTCTCTTTTCGAACGGGCATTTTTGTTCAACTTCTCTTCCTTTCTTCTCCTTTCAAAATCCTCAAAAGCCCTTCTAGCAAACTCCTCACCACCCAAAAAAAAACAGACCTAAGAAAGAAGGTAGAATGGCATGAATGGACTTCCAAGGGAAGATCTTGTAACTTTAGCCAAAGCTCATGCATCCCAGCATCAGTCGCAAGCCCATGAATTCTTATAATCACCTTAGCCCATAGCTTGTCCATATCTACGAGCAATCTCCACAACCACTTCCCAATAGAGCCATACTCCACTTATGAATATTCTCAACACCCAAAGCACCAAATTTCTTACTTCTACTAACCACCTCCCATCTAACTCAATGGTCATCTTTGATATATGTGATCTGTGTAGTCCAA